CTTTGCTTAAAAGTTAGAGCAGCTCTAAAATTAGGGGGCCAACCGTCCTTTGAGACCGAAATGCTCTTCCACTCCTTTTAATTGGGTGCAGTGACGTTTAAAGGCCATTAATAACATAGTGGGGAAGGGAAGGGAACCACTGAGCTAACAAATATATATATTTATATATACAGGTCTTGGAAAAGTTATTCTTTTGGACTACGGCACCGTGAGTTTACAATCCAACATAGCCCTACATTTCATTTAATGGGTTGCGTTAACAAAAACATGCCAACGCTTATTTTGGGAAGTCCACATAGTATTTTAAGTATAAGCTTGTGTTATTCTATATCTTTAGTCTTAAAGGCAACCAATTTCATGCCCTCTAGGCTCTCTTTCGGGGTACCTAAATGTGGTGTAGTGGAGAGAGTAATGGACTAGGACTAAGGAGGCCTGGTTCGATTCCATGGAAGCTCACTGGAGATGGCTGGGATTGGTAAAAAAAAACACTTCTTAAATGCTTCACTTAGTGCTCTAACTTATTAGGCTGTTGAATCTATCAAAATCCTGAAAAGCAGCAATGACTTGAAATACGGTATTTTTCCATGTAGAAGACATTACTTTTTTCTAAAATCATTAGACTAAAAATTGAGGTGCATCTTTTACATAGAAGTAAGCTGAGATAGCTGAGGGAAGAACAAAATGCAACACGCCTTGCCTCTGTAAACAGGCTTCCTTCAGTCAAGAGGCTTAGCTTCCTCCAGTCAGGAGCTTTATGGAACTGACCTCATCTGACCCTAAAAAAACCCATTGGAACACACCTCCTTGGAGGTGGAGCCTGTGTAGGCAGTGCTCAGATTCAACAGAGACTCTTAATGTTTTAGCATTCTGAGCCCAGAGGCTGAATCCTCAAAGCTAAGTTTTCTTAATTCTTTGTTTAGAAAAGCGGGGTGGGGGTGGGGAGGTTGTCTTATAAACGGAAAAAATATGGTAACTTTTAGTGGAAATGAAAGAAGAGCCAAAGCAGGAGTGCAATTGAACATGAAGAGAAAAATCATGACTACAGAAGAACTACACAACTTTAATGGTGACAGAACGAAAATTGAAATAGTCAGAAATTTTGTATACCTTCATTCAGTCATCAACCCAAATGGAGACTGCAGCCAAGAAATAAGAAGACAGGGGCTAGGAAGGAATGAAAGAACTAGAAAAAGATGATCAAATTCTAACTCTTTAGTCTTAAAGGCAATTTACATTAATTCCCCTTCTGGTGCTCTGTGTCACTGGAGACCAAGCGCAAGGTCATCCACACTGTTGTATTCCCAGTCACATTGTATGGGTCTGAAAGCTGGACAGTAAAGAAAACTGGCAGGGGAAAATTGATTTGTTTGAAATGTGGTGCCAGAGGAGAATTTTGTGGATAGCCTGGACTGCTAGAAAGACAAACAAGTGGGTTTTAGTGCAAATTAATCCTGATCTATCTCTGGAAGCAAAAATGATAAACCTGAGGCTGTCCTACTTTGGTCATATCATGAGAAGGCAAGATTCTCTGGAAAAGACAGTAATGCTAGGAAAGGATGAAGACAGGATGAAAAGAAGCCCAAATGCAAGATGAATTGACTCCGGCCTAAAGGAACCTACAGCCTTGAAGTTACAATTGCTGAGCAATGCTGTTGAGAACAAGACATTTTGGAGATTGCTCATTCATAGAGTGGCCATACTTTTGAGGTGACTTTATAATATGTAACAACAAGGCTCTCTTTAAGGCCCATAAGTTTGTTTGTTCGTTTGTTTTTTGACAAAGTGGCTAGATGTTTTTTTCCATTTTTTTTTTAAAAGGACTTTTAAGACCTGAAAGAGCTTCTGGGATGTGAATTTTGCGTGGCAAATTGCACTCCTACCCCAGAGATGGCTTTGAACATTGGTTGCGTTTTGAGGGTGTTGGAGTGTGTGTGTGAAGATTTTTCCAGGAAGTTTATTTTGAGGTTCAAAGAAAACTGAGAGAATGCATACAACCTATCAGCTACATATTGCCTATTCTTTATAATATGTCAAAAGGTCTCTCTCTCTCTCTCTCTCAAAATAAGCCAAACAAACTGCTGAATATCTAGAGTGACAGAAAGACTTTCCTGCTGAAGTCTTTAATGTAGATTCTGTGTCTGATTGTGAGCCTTCTCTGTTTCATCTCACAATATTCAGAATTCCCCAGCAACTGTCTGGCTGTTCAAAAGGGTTAATGAAACATGCATAAGTGAATGCTAGCTGAGTCAATACGAAGTGCTGAGAGACTGGCACAGTCACCAGATGGAGGAGCAGGTCCTTGGTTACCTCTACAGGAAACAGAACTGGCGGATGAACTGTGCAAACTTAGCACTTATTCTCTCCCTGTGACTCCATATTTTACCATCTGCCAGCCTTCCTTCGTAATATCCTAGCTTACAACTCTCCCCACCACCTCTAGATGATGGGAGTTCTAATCCAACACATCTGGGGCCAATATGGTATTGTTCTTTTTCGAGTTATGGATTGGGTGCACTTGTCCTGCTTTAGTTCTGCTAAAACCAGTACTGTATATTAAAGCATTAGTGTCTCCCTCGGAACCGAACCTCCTAGTTCTTATCAAGTCTTCCTTTATCATAAAGACAATTCCAAGTAGTCACGTTGAAGCAACTGCTTCGTTGAAGCAACTGCTCAGTATTAGCCACAAGGGACAACGCAGGGTGTTTGTGATTCCAGAGAAGCACAGAATGTGTTTAAGGGGTCAGAGTCCAGCTATGTAAGCATCTCTGTTGCATTGTTTTTTAAAACAGGTTTCTAGTCCTTAAGGTTCACTTGAGACGCAAGCAAATAGGTGTAGCCCTCCTGGAGTTTTCGAGGCCAGAAAAGAGACTCAAAATCATCTCCCTTGGTTAGGAGCAATGCTTCCCAGGTTTGCAGAGTGTGTATTTCCTTTTCCATGATGACCTTCAAGACCAAAATATATTTCACCATATAATGAAAAGGAACAGAAATCATATACATTATAAATCATGCAAAATAAAACAGTGCTTTATGCATTATGCAAAAATAAAATGTTATATGTTGTGCAAAATAAGACAATATATTAAACGATGTTTACTTGCCACAATTTATTCTAACTGCCAAACTCAGCTTTTCTTGGCTCACGATTAAGCTTGCTTGTATCCACAATTCATGTTTAATTAGCTGCTTTTATTCTCGGACAGTGCCATGCTGAGAAAGTACCATGTTTTTAAGAGACATGGCGATGCTACTCTATGCCAGAGAATTGCAGAGGACTCTGAAGGTGCTGTGCCTGCTTCTGCACCAATGGACAGGGTCAAGTATGGTGCAATTGTTAACAACCCCCCTCGGTTTGGAGAGATCCTGATTTAAGATTAAGCTATAACCTAGCAGAGCTGGCTGGATAGTTCAGTGAGCTATCAAACTCTCAGAGCCAGACTTTGTTGCTGTATCTCCCAAGAGAATACCCAGCCTGTGTAGCCTTGGGCTAGCTGCACTCTCAGAGCCAGATTTTGTTGCTGTATCTCCCAAGAGAACACCCAGCCTGCTGAAGGACCCTAGGTGTCTTTCCCCCACACCCTCCCCGGCTTGGCCTATTTCACAGAGTTGTTGGGAGGATAAAGATGGGAGTAACAGAAAGAAGGGAATAGTAAGCCACTAAGCAGTTTAAATCTAGAAAAGAATCTCTGGAAAGAATCAGTGTATGTGAGAAGTGACTTGACAGAGTTGTTGGGAGGATAAAGATGGGAGGAGGGAATGCCATGTTCTGATGGGAGGAAAAGCAGGATATAAATTTTTAAAAAAACATAAAAACTCATGTGGAAGTGACATTTGTGCATGGGTTAGTTTTCCCGGAAAAGGACAGCTAGAGAGGGCAGCCATATAAGCAAAGAATCCAGTGGATCTGAAAATACATTGTACATGTGAGTACAGTATTAGCCACATGGGAACTGTAGTTAGGAGGGAAGCCTGAGTCTTCCTACAGCTTAGGAAAATGAACTTTTGTGGACTTGCAGAATCTCCCAGCCAACATGGCCATCCATGATGGTCAGAGGATTCTGGGAGTTGTAGTCCACTAAAGAAATTTTCCCAGGCTTCGGGAATTACTGACTAGCTGGCTCAATAGCTACGATGCTTTAGGCATCTGGCTGCAGAGCCAGAGGTTCAGAGTCCAATTTCCCACTGTGCGTCCTTGAGAGGGACTAGACTCAATGATCCAGTGGGTCCCTTCAAGCTCTAAAGTTCTCAGATGATTAGGAGAATGATGATGATGATAAATTGTATACATTTGTCCAAGCTCTGAAACCTCTCTGGGGACACATAGAGAGGGCCAAATGGGACTGGAAGGACCAAATTGAGACATTGTGGGGTATTTGTAAGCCGACCAGAGACCTTTGGGTGGTGTGGGCGGCATATAAGTTAAATAACTAACTAAATAAATAAGAGACCAACAGATGGACCTTTTGATTTGGCACTGCTGCTGTTTCCACTTCACACAGAGGGTGAAAGAAGACCAGATAGAACAAAATGGGATTCTCACTGAGCCTGTCTTTCCATTCCCAGTCTAGCAGAGGGCTACTGAGAATGCCATGTCTTTGGGCTGTGCAGGATCCTGGCATCAGCATGAGAAATACAGAATGAAGAGTCACCCAGCCTGCACAGTGACTAGCCATGCTAGCTGGGGGATTCTGGGAGCTGTACTACAAAAAGAGCAACCTTTCCAAGCCTAAACTACTTACCTGTTGTTGGTTTTGTTATGTACCTACTGACTAAAGGCAACCATAGAAGGGTTTTTCGTATGTGTGAGATGTTCAAGTAATGGTTTATCGTTGCCACCATCACCCGTACGTTTCCATGTCCAAGCAAGGATTTGAACTCAGTTCTCCTGAGTTCTAATCTTACACTGTATCCACCATACCATTCTGGCTGATGTGCTACTAACCTGCAGTACCATAATTTGAAAATCCACCCCTGATTTGATTATCATTTTATTATCTTAGGAATGACATGCCAAGCCCGAACTTCCTACACAGAAGATGAAGTTCTCTGGGGTCACCGGTTCCTCCCGGTGATGTCACTGGAAGACGGCTTTTTCCGCGTAGACTATTCCCAATTTCACGGTACGTTTGAAGTCCCGACTCCCCCCTATAGTGTGAAAGAACAAGAAGAGAACTTAGCTCTCCCTTCTCCTGTGAACACCCCAACAGGGAGTAATCGAAGCCGGAGGGATAAGATCTCTTCCCTCGACTGCCTGGATATTTTCGAAGACAAGAGTGGCCGGCTTCCCAGCAAGCTCCAGAAAATTTGCTCTGGGAAGGGGGATCTCCAGAGGGGGCTCCTCAGCCTTTGTTCCAACAACGTGGAGAAAGCATGTAGCACTGGAGACCTCTTGAAAATCCAGCACATCAGTTCCGTCTGCAGCATAGAGGATGGGGGTGAGAAGATTCAGTCCACAGTCTTCAAAACCAAGTCAGAGCTACTGGCTCGGTCTACCGGGAATCTCGAACTGCAGCAGAAGCCTCAGGCCTTGCACAGCCTGGGCGCAAGGTTAGATGACAATTTGCCTGCCAAGCTGCGCAAAATGAACTCTGGGCTCCTGTCCTGAAAAGAGCCGCCACCGTACAGAAAATAACAACCATGATTGTGTTTTAAACTTCTAGATTTCTCGGGTTATTACTGTGAAGAAAAGGGGGTGGGGCAACGTTGTCCCACACCTGTTATGGTTGTTGGACTACAACTCCCATCATTCCTGGTCAATTCCCAAGCTGGCTGGGGCTGATGGAATTTTGGAGCCCAAGAACTACGAGAAAACTACAGGTCTGCCACTTCTGGTAAAGAGGGGTTCTGGGCTGCGGCCATGCGCTACCAATGTCAGCCTCCAATTTGAATAAGAATAAAAAGCATCACTTCAACTCATAGTAAAAATTGATAGTTTTGTAAGCAGAGTTTGGGGAGGAACGCACAATAGTGTAAATCAGAGGGACAAAATACCTTGAAAGTAGTGTTGGTCTTTGGGTTTTCATTTTTAGCTTCACCTCTACTTTTCAGGCAACTTTTTTTAATCGGGCTTTGTGTGTAAAGAAACAAATAGGAGGCTCATATATAATATGCAGAGTGCTCATGTTTTAGGATGAGTAACTGCTTCACATTCCTGCACACTTCATGGAGCCAGGGAACTGAAGAACCCACATTTTCAGTCCTAAATTCCGGGACCTCTATTTTCAAAAATTAAGCGTGGCTCATACCCATTAGAATTGCTAGTCAGGAAGGGATTAAGACTTGTTGAAGTCTGTAATAAATAATAATCATGTGCCACCAAGTCAGCTCTCGCTTATGGTGACCCTTATCAGGGTTTTCCAAGCAGAGAATACCCAGAAGTGGTTTCCCATTCCCTTCTTCTGAGGGGGGGGGGGCGCATCCTGGGATTGTGCAACTTGCCCAAGGCCACACAGGCTGGCTCTCCTTGCAGGAAGGACAGTAGGAAATCAAACTCCCAACTACTGGCTCCACAGCCAGAAACCAAAATCATTGAGCTATCTAAGATATGCCAAATTTCAGTGAACCCATAGCTTTATGCCCAACATGTGTATCATTTTAAAAGTATCATAATCATTGTCAATCCTACATAACCTGAGACCTAAACTGTGGTTTACATCATTTGTCCATGAATGTGGCAAAAACTGCATGCACCTGATACAGTGGACCCTCTACTATTGGAATGGTGGCTGCAAGTCGAAAAGTCTGTAAGTCGAATCTCCATTGACCTACAATGCACTGAAAACCGATTAATCCCATAACCAGTGGTTTTTATTCTATTTTTATTCCATTTTGGTTTTTTTCTGGTCTGTAAGTCGATTCTCTGGCTGCAAGTAGAATCTAAATTTTGCAGCCAGAGAAGTCTGTAACTCGAAAAGTCTGTAAGTCGAGCCGTCTGTAAGTCGAGGGTCCACTGTAGTCCTACATGCTCTCATGATCTCCACCCCACTAGAAAAATCTTACAAAAATGGGGAGTGGGGGTTAAACTAAGAAAGCCCCACTATCCACCCTGTAATGGCCAAATATTTTTAAAATGGTGTGAGGGATCCCAGGTGTGCTGGAGGAGCTGTCAAAATAAGGCAAAATTGCCCCCTCCAGTGGTTCCCAATCTTCGACCCCAAGATGCTCTTAGATGAAATCTCCCAGAAATCTTCACCATTAGTTGTGCTGGCCTGGATTTCTGCGAGTTGTAGTCCAAGAACATCTGGAAGGCCCTAGACTGGGGAAGGCTGGAATACTTGTTTGTTCATTACATTTCTATTATAGCTACTGTATACAACAGATTCAGCTGGCTGGATAGCTCAGTGAGTTAAGTGCCTGGATGCAGAGTCAGGGGTCTGGAATTTGATCCCCAGCTGTATCTCATGGGGAAAAAGTCAGCCTGCGCAGACGTGGGCAAACTGCACAGTCCCAGGGAGCCCCAAGAAGAAGGGACGAGTAAACTATTTCTGAGTGCTACTTATGAAACCCTGGCACGGGGTATCATACATTACATTTCTATTATAGCTTTACAACTGATTCAGCTGGCTGGATAGCTCAGTGAGTTAAGTGCCTGGATGCAGAGTCAGGGGTCTGGAATTTGATCCCCAGCTGTATCTCACGGGGAAAAAGTCAGCCTGCGCAGACGTGGGCAAACTGCACAGTCCCAGGGAGCCCCAAGAAGAAGGGACGAGTAAACTATTTCTGAGTGCTACTTATGAAACCCTGGCACGGGGTATCATAAGTCAGAACCAACAGGTTAACAACAGAATTGATACAACTGAGTCAGCCCAGGGTGCTGAATCCATTTGGACTGGACCAGATTAGCAAGAATTGGATCAGATTGATATGGACTGATTTTGACTACTTCTGGGACTGGCATCTGAAACAGCAATAAAAGAAAACCAGATAGCATGTCTCAATAATTTTGCAAAGTGGCCTCATAGGAAGAAAATGCAAGGGTAAGGAAAAGGAGAGCAATGACTTCATTCATTGCCTCATAGAAAGAAAATGCCAGGGTAGGGAAAAGGAGAGCAATGACTTCATTCATTGACACCTCTAGCTTGCATTCTGGAGCAAGACTCTCAACAGCACTCTTTAATCACAAAGCAAAATGTGCAGCTTATTTACCATCCCATAGTGCTGAAAGTACTGTTTTGGCAGCCCCTATAATTTAATTATACAGGCTACACATTGCCCCTTCCCTGTGAGCCAGGTACTCAATTTACTGATCTTGGAAGGATCATTCATTGACACCTCTAGCTTGCATTCTGGAGCAAGACTCTCAACAGCACTCTTTAATCACAAAGCAAAATGTGCAGCTTATTTACCATCCCATAGTGCTGAAAGTACTGTTTTGGCAGCCCCTATAATTTAATTATACAGGCTACACATTGCCCCTTCCCTGTGAGCCAGGTACTCAATTTACTGATCTTGGAAGGATGGAAGGCGGTTCCCCGTGAGCCAGGCACTCAATTTACTAATCTCGGAAGGCGGAGTCGATCTTGAGATGATTATCTGTTCTCCGGATTGAACGCCGGTCATGAGCAGAGTTTTCACTGCAGTACTGCAGTTTAACCACTATGCCATGAGGGTCGTATCACAATAAACATTCATCGCAGTAAAATATTCCAGAAAAGAAACACAAATCATCAGCAAATGTTAAATCTGTTAAACTAAATTTTGGGGAGGCTACAATAACAATCACCTGGGTCTTGCTCTGTGTAATTGGTCATAGTCGATCTATTCTAAAGAAGCTATGTCTCCCTACTTCTGTGGGGAAGGAAAACGTCATGACTGCTCAGATCTCCCTATGCATTTCAAGGAGAGGTGCAAGAATTTGGATAAACTAGTTAGTGATCCTGGTCTGAAGTGGGTTGGATCAGATGCAAGCTGAATGAGAGGTAGAACCAGCATAGTCCTAAATCCTACCCCGTGTTTCTTCCAACAAGTTGATAGTGGCATATGTAGTTCTCCTATCCTCTTTTTTTATTTTTATTTTTTTTTCTCACAACAGCCCTGCGAGAGAGAGGCAGGCTGAGAGAGATTGACTAGCCGAAGGACACCTAGAGAGTCTCATGGCTTTTTGAATAATTGAACCTGGATCCTTCAAGTTCTAAATCAATGCTCTAACAACGCCAGTCTCGATGGCCCAATGAGGTGGCTTGGTCTAGAGCAATTTGCTGTGCTCTTCCCCCAACCCTCTACACTGTATTCATGCCATACATCTTTAAAGTGTCACCAGACTTCGTTATTTTTGTTGCAACAGATTAGCAGCCACCCCCTTGTTTTGCTTTTGAAGCTGTCTTACCTGCTTTGACTTTTGGGATGAGGTGGATATAAATCTAGATGAATAAACACCTCTCAGTACTCAGGCTACAGGAGGTAAGAACAGTCAACGTTAGCACAACTCATTAAGAAGCTATTATTTGAGTTAATGGCCAATCGTGTCTCATCAGTTATCCTGAAACAGACTGTAGCTAAGCACCATAATCAAGGTGAACGCTGTTTTCCAGTCCTAGAGATGGGAATGATGGGTAGCCCTCAGTAGCCATGTTGGCTGACAGATTCTGGGAGTTGCATTTCCACCGCCACACCCCCCCCAAATAATCTCCCCTAAATTCTGATAGCCCTGTGGCACAGTGGTTAAACTGCAGTATTCATAGTTGAGACTCTGCTCAGGACCTGTATTCAGTTCCAACAGATTTAGATACCCATCTCAAGGTTGACTCAATCTTCCATCCTTCTGAGATTGTCAAAAATGAGTACCTAGTTTGTTGGGGAGGTGGGGTTGGGCAAAGTGTTCTTTGCATAATGATGTTGTAAACTACTCAAAGTGCTCTAGCATTATGGGGGCAGTATATAAGTCAAGACAACAACAACCTATGAGCAACATATGTTGGACATGAGATGAAGCAGGGCACTGGTATATAAGACTTAGGCCACTCTAAATGGGTTTGTTTCAGAAGGATAGCTGTATTGGCTAACAGCAAGACAATAATAGGCAGAGAAGAAATGGTATATAAAGTGGTGAAAGGAGACTTTGTGGTGAAGAAAATGTCACTTCCTTTGTCCTGATGGCTCATGTCAAAAAGACATGTTTTCTACCATCACTGAAGCTTTGGTACTTTCTGAGTTTTGTGTTTGTTTAGCCTCACCTTGATATCAGTTGGAGAAGAAATAAGTAACTCTACTCCATAGTTCTATATACTTTTCTTGCCATCTTGAGGACTGGGGTGTTTGGGGAAAACTGGATCTGGGGGCGGGGGATGGCTGTAGAAGACTTATCTGACATATTTCTGGAGCAGCCCATTTTTTTTACCTGCTGCCAGCGGAAGAATGCTGGTCACAGCTGGTCTGAGATGCCTGAGGTAAGGCAAATGACGCACATATTCATTGGGACGCAGCCACACAGTACCCCAAAAACAATCAGGTTTTCCATTTAGTTTGGAAGAGGGGGCAAAAAAAAAATGATTAAGCACTTCTCCCCTATCTCTTGCCATAAAAACACACAAATGTAAGAGCAGGGTGATGTCCTTGTTGAACCACAACAAAGCAAAATAAAGAAATAAAATTGCAAGCTTTTGTGGAGAAAAACCCACTTGCTCAGGCTGGGCACCCCCATTTCATGGACAGTGCAGAAAAATTGTAGATAAGTGTCCCAAAATTCGCTGGCAGAGGTCTGTGCCAGGTCTGCCCACGTCAAGAAAGTTCAGATTCCGACTGCAAATGTCATCTGCAGAGTGCCGTCTCAATCACCACCCCGTGCAGCGTGGTTGGCATTTTCCGTTCCAATCTTCAGATAAAAGGTTTGCTAATTATTCTGTGATTGCCCCACCAACACATTGCCTGCTTCCGAAAGACAAAATTCCTTTTTGGCGGTGGAGCTGCTAAGGGAAGAAGTAACATAGGGAGACAGAAACACTGTTAGAAGGTTGGGGTTATGATTTCAGTTCATTC